TGTCAAACTGAACCGTACAAACACTACAAACTATAGTCCACAAGTTCATAAATAGTAAAATTTACATTAATTCTACAATATTTCACGAATATACGATTTATTTATAGTTTATAACTATTTTAAACTTTTTTTTTTTTTTTGGTTTGTGGAAGTAATATAAAAACTTTCTGTTTAGAATAAAATGTACGCGTGAAACATAAATAATAATTGTTGGATTTTACTCGGCATAAGGGTAGATATATCACCATATACCTTTTTAGTAAATAGTATTATAAACGGTAATAAATAGTATTTACTAAATAGTATTTACAAAAATTATTATTAATATTCTATGACTGGGATACGGCGTACAAATAATGAGTAAAAAATAACTCGACAATCGCCGAGCGCCCAAGCTGCTTTGTGTATTTTATGTACCTATGTATTGCACGCTTCGGTATTTAAAACGCTCGTTCGTTTCGAAATATTTATATTAATATATTTGCAACAAAATAATATAAAAAAAAACTTACAAAAACATTGATTGTATGAATAATAAATAATAATAATAATAATAATAATATTAATCGTACATACCTACTCGTTGAGACAATGATGTAGGTACAATGAGATGAATTATAGATCAATATATATTTTAAGCAATTTATAATTTAACCATAGCAACCAGATCTTTTATTTAACTTTTATTTATCATAAGCTATACATATATATAACCATCACTAATAGCGAAAATTTATAAATAAACAAAAATTTCCATCGTAAATCTCAAAATGTCTCTTTGAGCACCCCCCGTGGTTGGGCCTATCACTTTTTAACTTAGCATATCTTCTGCCCATAGGTTTAAACAAATTTCGTCGCAATCGGTTCACTGTTCAGTCGTTTAGGAGTGCATAAAGTACAAATCGACAGACAGAAATCCATTTTTATATATATATAAGATAAATAATAATAAATCACTACCACTCTACTCACAAATCGTATTTTTTGTACAGATAAAATAAATAATATACAATTAAGCAAAGTACGAACAATATAGGTAGGTACAAAGACCTAGGTATATCATTTTATAAATTAATTAAAAACAATACGTAATTTATTAATTTATTATATAAACTAGGTAAAAAAAATAAACGACATTTAATTGTGTACCTACATAATACACATAATTATTATTTATTGTAAAATTTTGAATTTGCCGCTATAAAAATATGGGCCAATCAAAACCACTCTACTCACAACTCTAGGTTTAGAAATCATGCCAACCGTCAATGGTTATTATCTTAAGCCGTTATCATAGAGTGAAAAAGATACGAATGATACGATCTTCATCACCAATTTTGGAAAATAGAAATTAGTAAATTACCAACTAATATTTATAATTTATCAGCTAATTATTAATTACATTAGAACAATAGGAGTCTAGGATGTATGTACCTCTAATTGATATAAAATCAGCTTTAAATTGTATTTTAATTTTAGTCACTTTGTCTTTGGAATTTATGTTTAAGAGTGAAGTATGTAATGTATTTTTGTAGACTTGATTCATGGGCACTGAACTAAATATATTTTAATATTATGTTATTTAGTCATTCACTGTTGAGTAGTCATAGTTTAGAATATAGAAAATATCTAACATTTTATTCATACTATATGATTATTGTTTAGCATTACATTGTTTTAGACTGATTAAGTACTAAATAATGACAGTGACTATGTTATATGTTAAATCATAAATAATCATACATATTTTAATAACTTAGAAATGATTTACCTAGGTCAAAACTGTTGATGATAATTCTGTAATAAGTTATGGTTGAGATAAAACCAAAAGAATATTGGCCGATTGTATATAGAAAAGAGTATAATGTTACATTTTTTGGTCTCGAAAATTTACATCCTTTTGATTCGAAAAAATGGGCACACATTTACAAAGTAAGCAACTGAAACTCAATTTAAAATAGTATCAACATTTCATTTGACTTAATCTTTAAYACTGTATTTTTTTTTGTTGCTTTTAATTTTCAAGATAAGATAATAAAATAATAAACTGTTTAATGGTTAATTTTGATTTGTAATCAACTTAGCAGATAATTAGATATAGATAGTTATTTATCTG